CTTGTCCCAGGCACCGACCCATATATACATACACTTAGCCTCCAAGTCACTAGAGACGTTTCACTTCTATGTTTGGGTCCGCGCCCAAGATCCTTGTATATACTGTATGTGTGTATGTGTGTGTGTGTGTGTGTTTGTGTGCCTGTGTTTTTGTGTGCGTGTGGTGTATACATTTATGTGGGATATTGATGACACCCTGCCGTTTTCCTGTGATTGCAGTGCCAGCCCTGTCACCCCTACACTCTTATTATTGATGGTATCCCTCCGCCCCCTGACAACACAGCCAGATGAATGCGTATCCTTCCGCCTGTACTTCTCAAGGACCCCTGAAGGATAAGGAGGTTCTGTCTGAAGATTTCACTGACCTTACCTCTTGTGGACACACATGCGAGCTCAGACACACACATGCATGCTGGCAGGTCACACATACACACACTGAGTGCCCATATGCTTTCTCTGACCTTAATGGCTGACCTGCCCGCTGTCCCTCTTTAGCTTGCACCGAAAAAATTGCACACACACACTCAAGGACACAGAGAGCAAGGGATCAGCCATGCTTCAAACAATTTCTGCAAAATCAAAAGAATACCACGCTTCAAAGACCAGTGCTACATTTCTGCAGCAGCAACCTCCATCTCTCTCCCTCTTTTATTTTTCCCACTCTATGTCTCTCTATCTCTGGGTCTTGTTTCTTATATATTTGTTATCTGACTGTTCAACCTAATCGTAAAGGTCTTCTTTAAATTCATAGACATTTCATTCATTAACCAGTCTATAGACTCCACACTCACCTGGTTCTAGGGATTGTGGGTAGTCCTGAGGTGGCTGTCCCTCTCCTCTGTCACTGCCCCTCTCCAGCCCCTTAGAAAGGTGTGAGGGAGCAGGGCTGAGTGCAGGGGAGCGGGGTGCCGCTGCAGCCGGGCTTGGCGCTGGGGTCAGTGGGTTTGGTGGGTGCGGTCGCCTGGACGGAGAATGGTAGCAGGGTGACTGACGGCTGCTGGGACACATCCCGGGAGATGGCGTGGGCGTCTTGGGTGGAGGAGGGGTGTGAGAGAACGGCTTGGCCACATGAGAGGAGGTGGTGGACGAAGAAGTGGAAGAAGAGGAGGGAGTTCTGGATGCAGAAGATTCGTGAGGAGAGTCCTCTATGGTTATGGCGTGCTCCTCGTGTTTTCTCTGTGAAAGAGGAAGCAAATAGTAGTTCAATAAATAATGATATTTCATATAAATTATTAAATTTTAACTTTGATATCATGTACGGATTCAACACCATAGCAACCCCGTCCTGATTCGTTATATATCTTAACCAGGAGATGCAGCAGTTTGCTTTAAATAAACAGAACTTGCAGTAGTTAAACACAACAAACACAGAAGCACAAATACAAAGAAAAAAACATCAAAGAAAAAAGCCATGATAAATGAAATCAGTGTTGGCCACACTGATTGCCAATGATCTGGCAATACTGGAGTGCAAAAGCACCACTCCAACACCTCAATGAAATCTTTAGCCAACAAAAAGGGGAAGTAATTGGCTCAAATAATTACTGCTGAGTGTGACTTTACACATGCTTTTGTTTTAGTGTTGAGAAATCAGGATATCTGTGCTGAGAGATCTTCAAACAAATGACTAGTGGTGCTGTATTTCACTTCTGACTACTCAAAGGAGGAAGATGAGGAAGAGGAAGTTTCATAAGTGCACGTTTCCACACTTCCTAATTTTTCATTCGACCATAATTTCACAACAAAATGTTAACAACAACACAAGTTTAGACAACAATGGAACCTCTCTCCAAATGTGTCTGTATATTATATTGGTGTTAGTTCTACCTGTCCTAAGGAGTGGCGCTGCATGTGCTCTATGGCTCGCTGTTGCTGCTGGTGCTGATGCTGCAGGGCGTACAGCTCCTGTTGCCGTAGGAATGAGGAGCGGGAGTAGACAGGGTGATGCGGCAGGTGAGAAGGAGGCCCTCTGCTTCCGTACACAGGGGGCCACAGACCTGACTGCTCCAGAATGTCTAGAATAGGAAATAGAGAGAAAAAAACGGGTGAGAAATAAGAGATTGTCTTGCATTTTATTTTGTTTGAATAATAGAAAAAAATATTAAACTTAAAAGCAAGGCAATCCTATTTTAAAACTCAGAGCATTAATGTTTTTTAATAAAAAAGCATCAAAACAGTACAGAAATACTATTATGTCCCAGCATCCCAGGAAATTCATTAAGAGAAAAATGTGTCAATGAACTCTTGAACTGCCCTTTTGCATATGTGGGATTGCAGCAGAGCTCGGCTACGGTTACTGAAGATAATAATTGTGACCTGTATGAGTCGTGTGTTGGCCTCAGATGCAATCAATGAATCCTGAATTCACTCACTTTTACTCTTTCTATTTTCTATATTTTATTTTCCTATGTCGGGAAACACATTATCTTCAGAGCCCCACCCTGGCTACATATGATTTCAGAAACACACGATCCATTAACACACACACACACACACACACACACACACACACACACACACAGACATACACACATCCCTCCTTGGCTGCCTTGTCGCTGGGAACCTTTGTTCTGTGAGATTAGCCTGAGTGGGCTAATGTTTCCCAGGGGAAGGGTTCAGTGGATGCACTTCCCCTCTCTGCAGGAACTCCCACGGAGCGAGGCAAGGGAGGCGGGAGATAATTAAATTTCACAGCCTGTTTGCAAAGCAGTGTTGACACACACACAAATACACGCACACACTTTCTCTCTAGCAATGGCTGAGATGTACAACACAACCCTTAACACTGAGCAATGTTTCATGTTGTTCCAGACATGAACACAACTAACTTTAGATGTACACATAGCATAGACGCACACACCTACACACACAAAGTCTAGTCCAAACACACCAGTGCTCCACCACAAAAGAGATGAACGCCAGTTACAATGGTTTGCATAACTCTGGGCACATGCAGAGGGGGGCAACGGAATAGCTGCTCCCATTAACGAAGCTATAAAACACGGTCCCACTGACAGAGGGACTTAGTTGAGCATTATATTATGATTAGCCAATGATACTAAAACTCTGGGAGAGAAATGGCAGCGGCTCTGATGGTACAAATGGAGAGAAGGAGGGAGGTAGGGGGCAGTAAGTACGGGTAGATGGCAATGAATATGGGCTCTGCTGGTTGTGTGTGTGTGTGATATTGTAAAAGGATGCTTAGCGTACCGAGGTGATGATGAGGCCCAGGCTCTGTGGGAAGGACCACCAGCGGGGAGTTAGGGTCTTGGGTGAGCGACCCCAAGACGGGCTGCAGAGGGCCGGGCAGACCTGGCGGGAAGCCGGGACTCATTCCCACATGGCTCAGACCTGGAATAAAGATATGCACATAACACAGTCAAATGAGAGCAACATTTAAATACTTATTTTACTACTCCAAAGTAGATATGTGATGTTGTGCGTAGTGGTTAAATGTTGGGAGGCACTCAATAAACAAAGAGAACACTGGTGCTCTTTAAAAATGTACAAAAGAGCAAACTTCTGGCACCCCTTCTGGAGTTAAAATGCTTTTAATGTATCACTAGCTTGATAATGAAATAATAAAAAATAAAAATAAACTGTTTTGACCATTGAAAGTCTTTATCAGGGTTTAAACCCTCCAAATATCTCCTCTTCCTCAATGTGTGAAGGCCTGAAGTTTGCTCTTTCCTATATGTTTAAATCATTTTGTCTGTAGCTAATTTATATAATTCAAATGTCATTCTATAGCCCATCAAAACATTTACATTTGCTGTTCTAAACACCTTTGTTTTCTCAAGGAAGTGTTTCCAAGAAATAAATAAAAGACCTCTGTATTCACCACTATTAACCATGGCACCATGGTTGAACAAAAGAAAGACCAAGAATACAATGTTTTACAAGAATAAAAACATTCCAACCACAGTGACTGACACAAGATGTCAGCAAAAAAACAACAACATATAAATCTTGAAATGGGAAGCATTAAAGGTGCAGACCATGTTAAAGAATAAAACTGTGCTCACTGGCTGTAAAAAACTTCACGTGTTGCCCCTCTACTCACTGTATGAATGTCCCATCCAGAGGGAGGGACTTTCTGTCCTTTGCATCCAGTGGTGGTGAGCTGGATGAGCGTGTGCAGCAGGGTCCGCCCCTAACTGACTGGCCCCTCCAGGAACCAAGAGGTGAGAGGTCAGGTCACCATGGCAACTACTAGAAGGGTGGATCCTGGCGAACTCCACGCGATCCTTGTTTTCCCTGTCATGGCAGTAGGCGGAGTGAACTTTGTCATTATCTTGATTATCCCTCGTATTGTCATCATCATCATCATCATCACCATCACCATCATTATGATCATTATCTTCATCCATGTCATCTTCATTACCACCACCACCATTATAATCATCAAGAGAAGGAAATATGACGGCTACAGGAACAGCCATCATCTTGTGCTCGGTCTATGAGTTCTCATTATATGTTTTCTTCCCTTAATATGACTACATAATAAGAGCCTGATACTTCAGAGACATCCGTATTAGTCCCCATAACATTAATGCACCACATCTCATCTTCGAGAGAAAGAGAGAGAGGGGAAGAGAGAGAGTGACGGGGTACAGAAATACCACATCAAAGGGTGAGAAGAGTAAATGGAGTGAGGGGAGAAGCAGAGCCTCAGACTGGGAGAGAGAAGCCGGGAGAATAAAAGAAGTGCAGCTTATCAGATGACTGGAAAAATGAAAAGATGCTACCCTGTGTACTTGTGTGTGTGTGTGTGTCTATGACTGTATGTTCATGTGTGTTGGTGTTTGTGAATTTAAAGTGTACCTGATGATCATTTCTCTGTCTCTGTCCAGGTGATGAAGGTTGATCTGTTCCTCTGTCATCCTCTTCCTCTCCTCTGCCTCCCGACCAAGAGGATACACAGGGCGTGACACGCCTGAATTGGAAACCAAAGTAACATGCTTACTGCATTTGTCAGGCATCATGAATATCATTACGTGATGTTTCAAACACCCGTACTTTTGAAAAATACAAGGTACTAGGACACTCTGGTCACATCTTGCAATGGTCTTTTAAAGGGAAAGTCAGCCCGCAGATACTCTATATATAAATAATGTCATATTATGATCATCACTGCATGCCAGAAATCACACATTTCTTGTATACTTAGACACCCTCAATAAGTCTCATTTACTCCTTTCACATAAATTGATGATCTACAATTCCTAGGAGGCCTTTGACAACCACTGCCCAAGCAGGAATCAGTATTTCTGCCCCTAACAATGAATTTCTCCCTTAATGTGGTGAGACAGAAGCTGAGTCTAGGAGTGCTTAAAGCTTCTCTGCAAAGTAGACAGTAAACATCAAAAAGGACAAGAAATATAAGATTCGGTACCACATCAATAGCTGTTCTTGAATGTTTAATTGTGGATGTTCCCTAATGCAGTCTAAAGCACAGAAATAGCATTAATTGACTTGCAGTGCAAGGAGCATAAATGATGTCTGACCTTTCATGCTGGGCAGCACCCTGCCCTGTCTGCTGTGTCCAGGGGTGTTGTCTGGGGAACGATGGGGGGGCCTGGCTACTGCAACCGCAATACCCACCGGAGGCTGTCGCACCTCCCCCTCACCTGCCTCCCCTGCCTCCTTCCCACCTCTTTCACCCCTCTCTCCCTCGTTAGTGGATCCCCGGCGAGGAGGGAGCGATTGTTTGGGAGGGTCTTGAAGGGAGGTGTTGCTTTTAGCTCCTCCTCTGTCCCCCTTCTCTGATCTCTCTCCACCCGGCTTGAGGCAGCCCAGACCTCCGAAGGGGCCTCGCTGCGGCAGCATCATAGGCTGCTGGGAGCTGTAGTTCATTAGGTTTTTCATGGCACTGCCCTCACCCTCGGAGGTGTGCGATGAGGAGCGAGATAGAGGTGGCGGCTGAGAATGGGGTTGGGTGTGGTCACTGTTTGGAGCTCTGTTGCTAGGCCCTCTTATTTCACTATTACCAACTGATGCATGATGGGAGCCTTTTCTCTGATCATCTTGGTAGGCCCCTCGAGCCCCCCAGGAAGGTGCTGTCTGACCTCCGTCTCTTCCCCTCTCTTCTGCACTTGCTCCATGGCTGCTGTGTTGCTGGTGCCGTATCCTTGCAACCTTTTGTCCCTCCCTGTGAGCCCCTGACCCCACTCTCCCATTAGGATGAGGTCCTGAATGGGAACAGTCCCTGAAGGGAGGACTGCTGGTGTCGGGGCCATTCTTGTGTATGCCCTGTCCAGTACCAGGGTGTGTTGCTTGCGCATCTAGTGGGAGTGAGGGCCGGTAAACATCGTCCACAACCTCTACATCTCTGAAGGATGAAGGCGTTTCCATGCTGCAGGACCGCAGCTCAGGCTGAGAGCTCACATTGGGGCTGGGTTTGTGGAAGTTCTGCGTCTGGTGGCTCCAGTCAGGGGGTTTGTCAGCTTTGCCATATCCCAGCTGCTGCTGATGCGGCTGGGATTTGTCCTTCTTCTGGCAACTACTAAGTCGGCTGAGGTGATGAGAGGGACTTTCATAAGATCCTTCTCCACTCTTGTCATCTCCCTTTCTCCCACCGCCTCCTGCTCCACGACAGTCAGTGGCTGCCAGGTCCCCCAGTGGCCCAACTGAGGGCACGTACGTTGGGCCAATTACTTTCCCCTCCCTGCCAGACCCTCCAGGGGTGGATGCTGGATCTTTGGAGGGTGTCAGTGTAAGAGTGGATGGGGGACAGTAAAACTCAGGATGAGGATGGTGATGTGCATGGTGTAGCCACCCTCCTGCCACGGTGGAGCCCATGTGCAAGGCATGAGGAGGAGGTGGCGGAGGGGGAGGAGGAGGCATGGAGTAAGAGGCCACAGAGTGGGGCGTTGGAGGTGCCAAGATGGCTGTCACTGCAGCCGCACCTCTTCTCATACATTCATTGGAAGAAGCTGAGGATTCGCTGATCCTCATCTCCCCATTTATGGGTCCATCCTTGGAGCACCGCCTGCTGCCTCCAGATGGAGGTCTACCCACCCCACCACCACTACAGCTGCTTAGTGTTCCCCCCTTTCCTCCAGAGGCAGTCTCTGCTACCGAACCACTGGACAGTTTACAGGCACTCATATGTTTTGTCTCCTGACTGCCCGGGTCACTGTCTCTGTACTCCTTGTGTCGCTCTAGAGAGTGTCTGTGGTCCTCCTCCCTGCCCTGTGGTGTGAGGTGAGGAAGGAGGGAATGGTGAGGGTGGGGGTAAGCTTGGTGGTGGTGGCCGGATGGAGTGGTGGCAGGGTTCGTCTGATGAGGATGGTGATGATGAAGCTGATGTTGTTTGTCTTTGCTCTCCTGGTGCCGCTCCTTGCTGCTTGATCGCTCCTTCATTTTTGAAACAGATGAAACCCCTTTCTCGCTCACATCCTTGGTGCTCTTCCCGCCTCCTCCCCCATTGTCTGTCTCTCGGCTGCAAGAGCCAAGTGGATGGCCTGGGGCAGTCCTGGAAAGCGGAGGAAGGCTGTGACTGGTGGAGAGCAGAGGGGGCTGGGGAGGAAGGCCTCTCAGGTAGAAGTGATCTGGGAAGAGGGGAAAAGACTTAAAATGATCTCCAAAGTTGAAGGTTTCTCAAAATATAGAGAACTTGCAAACTGCAAAATATTAAAAACACTAAACACATTCTTTTTTAAAATTACAACTGTGCTTTTCTGTGGAGAAAAAAGGAATAAGACATGAAAAGCTAGACCCTAAGTTACCAGCTGTTCTTACTCCTGTGGTGAGTGCTGAATAAGCAGTTTTGGCAAGTATATATGAAGCAATTTTTTCACTACATTCACATTCACACAGACTAAAACCTACCTTTTTGAGTTTCATAGAAGCGGTGCTGTCCATAGAGACTGTTGCTATGGTGATCCAGGGGACTCATGGGGAGAAAAGGAGAAGCAAGACTTCCTGAATAGCTGGGGTACCCTGTCAGAGGGAGGGAGAGAGGGAAAGAATTGATGTTTCTCCACAGCGTTGACATTCAGCAGCCCTCTAAACAAACAGTTTATCTCTACAATCTATCATGAAATGGGGCCATTTTGGAAAACACAGAAAAAAAATATGGCCAGTTAGTGCTACTTTCACCATAAATGCACTTTTGCACAAACACACCACATGAGTTGACATTATTTACAGTGGACAAAGTGGTGACAAAAACCACAGCCGACAGCTACTGCCAAGTGTTTGCAGCATTTAACTGGATGGAATTTGCTCTTCTACAAAACACATTTTTCCCAAACCCAAGACAAATAGTACGAAGCATCCCAAAACCCCCCTCCTTAAAACACACACACTGTCCTCCCAGGGGGTCACTGAGAGGTGAATGGTCGTTCCACTCTGTTCCTCGTCTTCAAGGACGTTGAACTGCATCGTAGGATAGAGGAGGTCTTGGTGGTTGTGTAGAGATGGATGGGTGTAGGGATGGGCGAGGAGTTGGTTTCAGTGTGTTCAGTATGTGGGGTTGTTGTGGTGGTTGAGAGGGGGTGTTTTTTTCGGGGGGGAGGGGGGGACTGCAAAATCCCCACAGAGACACACACAAGCTCATACACAAGTACACAAACACACATACGCACAGGAGGCACACAACTCCACATTATGGGGCCAAAAGGCTTGGATTATGTGTGTGTGTGTGTTCTCCAGCAGCTGGTTTCATGCCCCACAGAGTGTCCTTGCCGGCCCGTTAATTGGCAGCCGTTAAAAGTTTAACGGTGGTGGCCAAAGTAAACAGCACTCCATAAAAACTCATCCTACGCATTCCACAGTCGCACTGCAAAACCACCAACACCCCCTCACTGCTCCCAGCATGTGTGTGTGGGACTCGGTGTGTCTGCGTGTTCATGCTGCAATGTAAATGCACGAATGTGTACTCTGTGTGTGAGTGAGTGTGTGTGATTACTCTGACTGGTTAACAACCAGTGAATCTAAATGGCGACAATTAGCCAAAAGGCTCTATCAGCCATCTAAAGCCAATCCCCCGGGTAATGATGAGTGATAAAACTCAGGAGGGAGGGAAGGAGGGAGGGAGGGAGGGGAGATGAGAAAGAAGAAGAGGGGAACAAAGACTACAAAGGGACACGGTGAGAAAAAAGGGGGAGAGAACGAAAGAAAAGGTGGGAAGGAAGGGAAGAAGCGATAGAGGAGGTTAGTGATTGAACAAACGATGTAAAGACAGTAAAAGTAAAGGAGACACCAGAAGAACAGGGCTGTCAGTATGAAAAGCCCCCAATCTGGTACTGCTGTGACACATATGGAGAGGGGAGTGTGTGTGTGTGTGTGTGTGTGTTGTAGAGGTTGTGTGTGTGTGAGGGGGGATGGAAGATGAAGGAGGAAGTGAAAGGGAAGTGGAGAGCTTTGAGATGGATGAGATGAGAGAAGAGAGGAAAGGGAGGTAAGGAGAGAAGCGAGAGCACATGAGAGAGGGGACAAAAAACAAGGACAGGTGTGGAAGAGGGAGAGTGTACAGCGAGTGAGAGTGTGTTTGTGCGAGAGAGAGAGAGAAAAAGAGAGAGAGAGTAAGACGTGTGTGTGTGTGTATGAGGGAATATGTGCTGTTTTTCAAACAAGTGTGTATTTTTTCGTGAATATGTCTCATCTGTGACAATGTGTGTGTGTGTGTG